TCCAAAGTGAGTTCAAAGCCAGCCGGAAGGGCACAGTGAGACCCTGTTTCAAAAAGACAGAAAAAAGAAAGGCAAGGAGGAAGAGGGATGGAGAACTAGGGAGGAATAGGAAGAAAGAAGAAAGAAAGAGAGAGAGAGAGAGAGAGAGAGAGAGAGAGAGAGAGAGAGAGAGTGAGAGAGAGAGTGTGAGAGAGAGAGAGAAGCAGGAAAACAGGAAAGAAAACCTTTGCAGGTGGGGGAGGAGGGGTTGAGGGGAGGGGCGAGGAATAGGAACAAAAGAATCGAGTTATGGCACACAGGCTCAAATTCTTTACCGTGAATAGGTTCGTCATGCATACCTAGCACGTACCAATATGGTCTGATTTCAGAGAAAGGTTCATGAGTGAGCGGCTTTCGCGTGGGCACCACGCAGGAGGCCTGCGCAGAGCAGAGCTCACCGGGCTGGCCGGCGTCCCTTCCTGGAGACCTGGACGCGAGGGCAAGCTCCTCCAGCACGCTCACAGCGAGCCAGGCGCATGGCTAAGATGCAGCAGAAGGTGCCCTCCAGCCAGTACGCTCCAGTGTCTTAGTGGCCCAGGTGACAGTTCCTGTCCTCTTCCGGTTGCTCCTGTCTCTCAGGAGCAGCTGCAATGCACAGCACGTGAAGCGGTCCCCACTGGACTGCCCCGCACTCTGCCTCCCTACTTCCTGCTGGCTTATCCTATGTAAGGACCACCTTATGTAGGACCATCAGAGACCAGGCCTGAGAGCCCATGATCCCCACCGATGGCCGGCCATGTAATAAATCTGCCTCCGAACCCGGGAGCCGTTCGGGCCCCACTAGCTGTTGCCGCGTCTGCGCTGCCCATCGTCAGGCCCATCCTCACGTGGAGATCCTGGAGCAGCCACCCGGAAGCCACGGGCGGGCAAGGCCGTGCAGGGCCGGGCAGGGGCGGCAGGAGGGTGGGCGCAGTGTGGTGCCTGGGCTCCTTCTGGGTAGAGGGCTGCTCTTCCTGAACCTCCGGAGGTGGGGAACCACATCCTGCCTGCACCCGCCCGCCCACTCTGCCGCCCCTTCTGCTTGTGCAGGGCTGCCTTCCTTGCCATCCACCAGGCCCTGCAGCTTCCCAGGGCCCCGACCGCTTGGTCAGCTGTGCCCTCTCCTCAGGGGACAATCGCTTGACCCTGAGGCGCAGGCAGCTGAGGTCCTTGGCCAGGGGTGTGTGCGCCCTGCTTGTCCTAGCGCAGGTGGCCCTCCCGCCTCGCTCTCTCCCTCCCCCTCTTGGTGCAGAAGCAAAGTTCCTGTCTCTCAGGGCGGTCCTTCACTTAGCTGCCCAAAACCTATCTGAAGAAGTACAGTGTTTCAATATAATTTTGGCCAATAATGACACCCCCCAGCCCTGTCGCTGCTTCCTGTCTCAGTTGTCACCTTGGTCCCCACCACAATACTGCCGACATGGCCTGGCCGCTGCTGCTCCTGTTCATCGCGGTCTATCCAGGTGACTGGGTCTACCCAGGATGCTAAGGTCGAGGCGCGGGAGGGACGCGTGGGGACGCATGTGAAGCCTGGAAGCAGGCTTTTGGGTCTGAGCCCGACAGGGGCCTTCCCCTCTGTAAGACAAGCGGGGTGGAAGGCCCTGGTTGAGTCATGCCAGGTCGCCGCATGCCATTCCCCGTAAGACGGAAAGAGGACCAGAAAAGGGGCTAGAAGGGACAAAAGACTTAAAAGAAGCAGCCAGGATTTTTTTTTTTTTTCCGGTACTGGGGATCGAACTCAGGACCTTGGACTTTCCAGGTCCCGTGGTGGCACACACCTGTAAGCCCAGCACTCGGTAGGCTTGGGGCAAGAAAAATGTTGTGAGCTCCAGGCCAGCCTGGGCAACAAAGCAAGTTCCAGGCCAGTCTGAACTGTGTAGTGAGACCATTTCAAAAGAAAAACCAAAGCCCAAAACAGAGTGCTGGGATTACAGCCCTACACCACCATGCCCAGTAGGACTTCTCCTCCTTTTTTCTTGTCTTTTTGAGACAGAATTTCTCTACCTAGTTCAGGCTGTGTACTCACTTTGTAGCCCAAGCTAGCCTGGAACTTGCAGCCAATCCTCCTGCCTCAGCCTCCTGAGTATTAAGACTTTCTACGCATCAAATTAATAAATACTCTTGAGCGAGGGAGATAGCTCAGCAGCGTAAGTGACTGCCTAGCAAATGCAAGTCCTGAGTTCGATCCCTGGTACCAAAATAATAAATAAAAATAAAGGACTGGGACATTGCTTACTGTGAAGGTCTGAGGTTCAATCCCAGTACAGCCAGAAGAACAAAAAGTCTACTAAACTAAGGCTGATGAGCTAGAATCTAGATATATAGTTAGGAATTTGGGAGACCTAATTAAGTCTGAGATAACTTTTCTTAATGAAGCCAGTTTTAATTAACTGAAGGGCCTTAATTTAGGCATGTTTGTTAAGTAAATACAGGGCTTCTCAAAGTGTAGGTTTCAGACCCTGCTTCAGCAACAGCTGAACGGGGAAGTTCCCAGGAGGGGCTCACCAGACCCCTGGGGCGGTCAGGTCTGCTTCTTAAACACCCCGTAGCCAGCAGCCAGCGGCATGGGTAGGTCAGCTGGGCAGGAGGCCTATTGAACCTGGGGGCAATTAGGGAGTCCCCCAACTCAAAGACAAAACAAAACAACAACAGCTACAACAAAAAGGCCAGGCACTTTGGGTAATTCCCACATATACTCCAGTTTTGAGAGTCACAGAAATAGACTGACTGGTAAATTTTCCTAATTAGAGTTTTCAAAATTTCAATTTATTAAAAAAAATGTACTTAGTATGTGTATAGGGTCTCACTACACAGATTGGACTCATAGTGATCTTCCTGTTTGCAGCCTCCCAAGCGCTGGGATTACAGGGGTGCACCACCATGTGCAGTCTCAAATGTGCCCTGAGGGCGGGGCCAGCATGGCGCACCAGGGATCAAACCCCGGTCTCTGTGCCTGCCTAAGCAGGCGCTTTAATCTACTGAGCTATCTAGCCAGCCTCGTTTTTGTTCATGTGGAAACAGGGTCTGTATAGTTCAGGTTGGCTTTAAGCACAGTGTGTAGCCCAGGGTGCCCTCGAATCTGCAGATATCCTCCTGCTTCAGCCTCCTGAGTGTTGGGATTATATGTGTGTGCTATCTTGCCTGACTCTAAGAGAATTATTTAATAATTGGTTTAATTTATCAATATGGGCACATTAAATTGAAATCTCAACCACAGTAGGTATCTTCACCTGGGAATTTAGTTAATGCTCTAATAAAAAACAAAGTAGCAAGGACAGTTTAGTATAGAATACCTGTACTAAAATAATAGCTAGCAAAATCTAGAAGTAGTACTAGTGACCTGGGGGCAACCACTTTCACTAAGAAGGAGCTTCAATGCCAGTGGCAGGCCAAACTGCAGGGCCCGTCATCACGCAGATAGCTGGAGTGTGGTGGGGGAGCGGGAGAAGGTGGGTAGGAAAGAATGTGAAAGATGATTTAAGAGCAATGTTAATGTTTTGTTTTTCGTCTCTTTTGAGACAGGGTCTCCACTATATGGTTAAGGCTGGCCGCGAGCTCACTTTGTAGTCCAGGCTTGTCTCGAACTCATAATGATCCTCCTGCCTCAGCCTTCTGAGTCCTGGGATTACTGGGGTGCACCACCACGTCTGGCACATTAAGAAAATCAGTCCTGGGGCTGGTGAGATGGTTCAGTGGTCTAAAGCACCTACTTAGAACAAGCTAAGCCAAGCACAGGGACCTCGGTTCAATCCCCCAGCACCACATGCCAGCCCGCCCGCCCCCTGGTGGGCTGAGCTGGCCACACACTAAATAAATAAATAAATAAATAAATAAATAAATATTTTTTTTTTTAAAAAAAGAAGAAAAATAGTCCTACAGTTTTTTTTTTTTTTTAATAGAAAGATTTTTTTTTTTAAACGTTTCCTTTATTTTTTTCTTTTATGGTCAGCTCAGCCCACCCTGGGGGCGGGACTGGCACGGCATGTGGTGCTGGGGATCAAACCGAGGTCCCTGCATGCTTGCCCAAGCAGGCGCTTTAGACCAATGAGCTATCTTGCCAGCCCCTAGTCGTACAGGTTTTAATGAGGCACCCAAAGTGCTTGTGCCAGCCAGGCCCGGTGTCGCGGGCCTGGAGTCCCAGCTCTCTAGGGGACGAGGTGAGTTGCGCCCCGAGCTCGAGGGCTGCCTGGGCTGCACAGTGAGACCGTGTCTCCCCAAAATAAAACGAAACAAAACAGGGCTTTGAGGCCGGCCAAAGCATCCAGCCAGCCCTTTCCCGGCGTGACGCCAGGGCCGGCTCTGCTCTCTGCCCGCAGCGTCCTGCGCGCTCTGGGTGTCGCAGGCCCCTGAGGTCCACGCCCAGGAGGGCGCCGCGGCGCTCCTGCCCTGCTCCTTCAACGCCAGCCGCGGCGCGCCGGCCATCGGCTTCGTCACGTGGTACCGGGACAAGGTGGCCCCGGGCCACGAGGTGAGGAACGAGACGGCTGCGTTCCGGGGCCGCCTGGCGCCCCTGGCTTCGTCCCGCTTCCTCCACCAGCACCAGGCCGAGCTGCGGATCCGCGCGGCGCGCGCCGCGGACGCCGGCGTGTACGTGTGCAGGGTGGAGGTGCTGGGCCTGGGCGTCGCCACCGGGGGCGGCACCCGGCTGCGGGTGGGGGCGCCCGCCA